GCTCCTTTTCCTGATACAACAGTCCTGTGTCCATGTCTGTGAAGAGTGCTAAGCATTTCACATCTCCTTCTCGTCTGATAATTAGCCACATCCATTCTTTCCCATCTTCATCTTGCCTTTCTCATCTTCTCTTCTGCTTTTTCACCTCACGTTGCTGCTTATCCTCCAAGCACATTCTCTCCCTTTTCCTTCTAATCTCCAACTACAAAACTTTCACAGATTGTGCTTCTTACTGCATGCAGCCACCTTCCCTCCCACTCCAGGTATACATCCACAAAAGTCAGTGCTACAAAAAAGTATTGTGGAATTGAATCTTGCAATACAAGTTTTAGGGGCTTGGTATAGGTCTTTGGTTTACATGGTGATTTAGCAGCAAGAACATCCGTATATATTCAGATCTGTACATACCACACATCCTATAGAGAGCATGCAATGACTCAGGTATCTTTTTACATGAGGGTGCAATTCACCTGAGTATTCACCAACAGCCATTTAGTTTCTGAAGCACTAAAAACTAGGAAAGAACACAAACTGAAGAGAGTTTGAGATCAGTACCAGTGAACTGACAGAGGTGTTATTTCCTTTGTACTTGTAGACGGAACCCTGTGTCTCTTCTTCCCTCACCAGTATTACAATCTCTCAGGATTTTTGTTTTCTTAAATGTCTCGTGTTTGATGTTTGAGAAAAGTACATATGATTTAAGATTTCACTTCATTGCTTTTGCCCAGATTCAGAGGACACATAGAGGGTCAAAACATTACCTGTTTGAGATTACAACAGATAAAAATTAGTGCATGTCATGCCTACAGTTCACAGATTGCATGTTTCATGTTAATGGCATAATATTAATTTTCATTTTGTACTAAAACAGTACATGATTTGAAATGGGTTCTGCATTTCAAGTAATTTTATCTATTAAAATAAATAGCAAAGGTGTGAAATTAACCATCCAGACTGGCTGTGGCTAATGGATCTTTTATCTTGACATATAAGAGACAAGAAAAGCTTGCCTTAGCAAGGCAACTAATTTGCTTTATAAAGTATGACATTCTTTACCTAGTACTCAACTTAAATAATTTCCTATGCACTATGAGGTAGAAGGGCTCTAGAATTTCCTTGTATTATTTATTGAGGATGTAACAAAGGAGGTGGTTATACAGTAACATGCAGTAAAACACAAAAAAATAAAATAATTCATGGGTGACATATTTAATGATATTCTGAGGCACTTCTTTGCTACTTCCTTATAAGAAATTGGTAACAATCTGAACACAGGAAAATTGCTTTCTTAAGCTAACCACGTCTGTACCAGGGATGGTATGCTTACGCACAAGTTGTACATAAATAGCTCTTCTGAGGACACACTTCAAACAATTTGTCAGTATAAATCTTACACAGAACTAAGAAGGATACCTGAGTTTTATGGCCCTGTTAATAGAAATTGGAGACAAACTGAACAGCTGAAGCTGTCTGGACTGTAACTTTGGTGAATTTCAACCTTCTCCAAAATGTTCCTGCAAGAGTTTTCAGATTAATTTTAAGAGGCACAAATCCAAAATGGTGAAGATATAGGGAGAAGTATATCTGGATAAACCTTCATCATTTCTGTGCAGTATAGAGGTACTTCATAGTAGGCTTCTAAATAAGCTTGCGTAGAAGGATACCCAGGGACTGCAAAAGAGAGGTGTATAAGCTAATTCCTTTAAACCTCCATCTGAAACCAGCAAAGGGAGCCCTACTTCCATCTAAAGATCCAGCATTCTTATTATAGACTAGGCTGCTCTGTTCCAGCTTGGAGTCATTCCTCACATGTGGCAGAATTCACCAAGCTCTGGGCAGAGGCCAGTTTGTCATACTGCCACTGGAGATCAAGTGCTTCTAAAATTACTTTATCTTCCCTTCATAACTTAATCTTCTGTATTTCCACTTTTTGAAGGGTGAAAACACAGATGTATGACACCCTGCAGAGAGCGGTGAGTCATGAAGAGACAGGTGAGAGATTTATCAATGGGAAAGTGCCAAAGGCTCTTTGAAACTCCTGAAGCTACGTTTACATTAGCAAGTAGTAGGGCTTAAGAAGAGTAAATTTGTAAAGTTTGAATCACTTCTGAAAATGCAGCATCTAACCTACCTGCATTTGGTAGGGGTAGGGATAGTGTGAACTATCTCCAGTTTAGTCCCACCCACTGGGACATGTTAAGTATGGTCTTTGAGCATATGTCCTCATTCAGGTTCATTTGAAAGAAGTATAGTTTATGTGCTATGTGAACCAAAGCATTATAAAAGTGGCAATAACTGGGAGACTTTTTGTGCTTGTAATTATTTATTCCCCAAAAGTACACTCCTGACAAACTAAGACATTGATGTAGGTACGCCTTGTAGGAGCAGTCATAATACAAAGGACCTGTAAAGGTCCTGTAATGGAAAGTAGAAAGAGTGGTGAAGCAAGGACAGAAAAACTGAAAAGAAAATGGTGAGGATGACATAGTCGTCATCTTTACATTTGCCTGTCCCCTGCAGAAAGAGTCATCCAATTGTAATGCCATACCTTCTTTCCGTGATTAGGCCTATAGTTGAAATATAGTGACTTTTCAGCTGAGTGAGCACAATGATTTTAATAACTGTCTGCTAATTAACAGGTTTTTTGAGATAAAGACAGTTGAATAGCTGCATCCTCTGACATCCCAAATTAATAACGCTTCAGTAGCAAATAATAAAGTGGTAGAGATTGGAATTATTACTGGTTTGATACAGCAGAAAATAGATTAAAATGAATCTGACTTGTTTATCTATGCAACCTAGACCATTTCAACATGCTAAAGATCTCAGCTCCAGTATATGATGCCCTAGAGAGCTTTATATAAAGGTAGAAAAACTGCTCCTGAAGCAAGATTCAAAAATTTCTATATTATAACTTTATGAATAAAATTAATTAAGCAACAATTCATTACATTCTAAAAGCATCACTGGAACATAATAATCCTTGTTTGCAGCCCAAAAAGTATTTGGTAATTACGGAATCATGGAGCAATGTGGGTATTTTTTTATTACAGTTCATTACATAAGATTACAAGGAAGAATTTGTCTTTGAATCATAATGAAAACTTAACTGACAGCACTATTCTAAAATATTTCTAAGGACTAAGTTTCAGTCTGTGTCTTAATCAATTTTATATTAGAAAGAGATTTTAACAAGATAATGCTGTGAACATCATTTCACTGCATTATAAAACCTTTGGCTGAATCTTGTAAGTAATTAAAACTCCAGCCATCTTGGAGATCTGACACAAATGCAGTCCTAATTTTAATATTCTTCAAGATTATACAGTTTCAAGTTTCTTTTATTTTTCTTTACCACCTTTAATCAAACTTTAGCTTTTCCCTCACCCACCTACAAATAGTCTAAAGAAGAATAAACGCTAAACATCAGAATCATGCCTTCAGACATAAGTACTTCAGACATAAGACACACGTAATATTACAAAATGCAGTCACTTTTCTATGCAATATGCGCAATGATTCCCAAAGACTGCTCTTTCAGATCTTTTACTCTACCCAAATGTGCTCTGAAATGGGGCTGAATGTGCTAAGAGCTCATTCAGTTACAGAATAGTCTTCACCTAAGCTGGGGCTTCACCCAATAAAGCATTACTACCATGAGCTCACATTCATTTCAGATGCCTTTCTCAACACTATTTAATAAAATAAGAGGCAGATAATGTCCTGTGCAGATAACAGGACTACAATGCTGCCCATACAGACAAAACCAGTTGCCAGAAGTTTTAAAGAGCAATAGCACATTTTGAACTAAAATACCTGGAAGGAAGGACACCTTAGAAAAGGTTGTGCCATCATTCATCCCACACAGTGATAGGCAACTATTACTTCACTCTCAGCTGAACTCCTGACATCTATGAAGATCTCGTAGCTTGAATTAGGAGTAACTCGTCAAATCACTGAACCAGTTGTCATTTAAAGGGTCCAGCTGCCTTGTATGCTAGAGGCAGTCATGAGAAGCACAAAATTCAGGCTCCCGTCAAACAGATAATTGCAAAATAAGGAAGCAAGAAATTAAGAACAGTCTGAAAGTAACAAACAAAAGTTATTTGTGCTACATTGCATGGTTCATTAAAATGTAATGTCTGGTGTTAAAACTCATCATAACTGTTGATATTACGATTAAAACCATGGAGCTACAATATCTTGGTCCACATACCAAACAATATAATTGTGGACCCCCAGTCTTGGTACAGGCTTATTGTGGAACATTTTGCTCATTAATTAATTAAAATCTGCCATTTGCAAGAGTGTTCTGAAAAATTTTCTCCAGGAAATCTGTTTTAACTGAGTATGTGGAAAATGGATAAAACCCGCTTTTATTTGTGCCAATAAGAAAAGATCTGAAGAATAAAAAGATGCTACACAGGAAAAATTGCTATTATATATGACTACTGGATTCCATGACAGAGACAATTTACTAAACACAATTATCCAAGTGTATGTTAAAATATGTTTAAAGACTAATCAGACCAAAACAAACTTATAGCACTCACTGCAAGGTAACACATATCTATAGGGGCTCAAGGTTGGGTATATGGTTTATGTGATGAACAGACATAATTTTTTCAGTGATATATATACATATATATGTATACATACACAACCAATACAAGTGAAGGGTATGCAAATTTCAAAGACATTTACAAGCAATCTATACATATGTAAACACACAGTTATGACCTAATGAATTTTCTATTTGCTGCAGAATAGCCCAGCTCCTGTCTGAATGTGGAAAAGAACATCCCCTGCACTAAATAGCGTTATGACAATTTTCTGTGTCTGCATGACATCAAGAAGTATGGAGGAAGGCATGTGTGTTCACAATAAATTAGGGTACCATATTAAAAGTTCTCCCCTCCCCAGTTAGCAATTCCATAATAGTCTTGGGTACTGACTTGTCAACAACAACAGGAGTAAAATAGTGAAATACAGAAACCATGTATAAAAAAAGCCATTTATTTTTTCACTAGAAGTATTTACATATAGTTTTGCTTTGTTTATGTACAGTTGTAAATGTAAGTTTAAAACTCATCATTAAACACCAGGATTTCAAGAACACAAATTTACTGACCTCAAAATTAGCTTCAAATTATCTGGCACACCTTTCCCTGGAACTCACAGAAGGCATTTTACAATAAATTGAGCTGGTGACAGCCACCCATTTCCAAAAGAAGCATTCCCACCTGCCCTGTGATCTTCCCCCTTTTTGTGCACAGAAGTTGTTTTACCTTGAACTACACTAGTGCCCATCAACCCTTCAGTGACCAGGTCAGGGAGCAAACCTAGTGAAAATTAGTTTAAACCAGTGAAAAGAAATCCAAGGAAGATCAAATAGGTATTAACTGATCTGAATGTCATCCTCTGTTAAATAATATGTCCTCACCAACTTTTGGTAAGGAAGAGAGGAAATTTCCTCAAGTTGTACCAGGAGAGGTTTAGACTGGGTATTAGGAAAAATTCCTTCATCAAAAGGGTTGTTATGCATTGAACCAGGATGCCCATGGAAGTGCTTGAGTCACTATCCCTGAAGGTATTTAAAAGATGTGCACATGTGGCACTTAGGGACATAAGGTGGACTTGGCAATGCTGGGTTAATGACTGGACTTGACGATCTTAGAGGTCTTTTCCAATCTAAATAATTCTATGACACAGCCTGGTTTAAGAAAGCTGCATTGAAAAGCACCATAAAAAGAGCAATAATTTTATTCAGTTTAGCTACTCAAATCAGGGTGGGGCCAGATGAGTAGCAGAAGACACAAAAAAATTGTCACAGGCAGAAATCTGTCACCAGGGCTGAGGGAGAGTAAAATCACTTGCTAAGCAGCTAATGACAAGACCATCTTAACTGCATTATGAAAACATACACTTAGAGGTCATAAAAGAAAAGGCAACAGCCTCTTCTGCTTACCACATCACAACAAAATTTCACATTGCATACCACGGTTTATTTCCTATGCCTTTGACAGACTAACAGGTGACAGCCTGAAAAGTAACTCTGCTTGTTATTGCCAGATCTTGACTTCTCCAGCCCAATCACATGTTGCAAGGAGTGATGGCAAGACTGGGTGAAATATTGTACTCACACAAGCTTCTTTATGTGCAGACAAAGTGCGAATAATCCTAGCAGTATGATAGTTATAGAAAAACACTTTGCCATCTGAACTTCCTGTCGCCAAAAGTGTTCCATCTGGAGAAAATTCACAGCCCACAGCAAAACCTTCCACCTGTGAAAATCAATAACAGTGTAACTCCTGAAGCTGATAAGGAAAGGTCATTGTGATATACTGAAAAAGAATACAGTACCAAAAAAAAAATTGTATCTTTAAATAAACTTACACTAAGGACTTCTCCAGGTGTTTAATAAGACACAGCTACAACACAAACTTATTTAAACAAGCTGTTAAGTATTCATAGTGTCTTCTAGTAACTATTTTCTTCAGAGTGCATATGATTCAAAATAGACTGGCACATGGAAAAGCAAATGAAGCCAATTAATATCTATCACTGATTTATAATCAACCACTATTAGCAGACATACTAAAAAGCACACATACTTTGCTAACCATCTTGTTTCTAGATTTGGATACTAAGTTCCCAGTAAAGAAGGATACCTTATGTCCTTCATATCTTTTCTTCTTGTTGATTCGGTAAGGTCGCTGCGCAGAAAACAAAGCCATGTAGTTCCCATTTGTCTGAGCAACAAACACAGACTCTTTTGGGTGCAGAGTCAGACTCGGGCAAGTGTAACGCTCCTGAAAATAATTTTAAAGAAAGTTTTGTATGAAACAAAAGATTTGTTGAAATGATTCAGGTTATCTTATCACATTTTGGAAGACCATAAAAGGTAAGGTATACATAAGTCATAACCACAGCATACATTATAGAAAAGATATTTAACTCATTACAATCCACTGAAAGTCTTACACCAAGACAAATTTTAAATGAAATATCTACCCTGGTTTCATAGATGTTGACCAAAATCTCTCTCTGAACCATAATTACACTGCAGAACAGCTGCAGAAAGGTAACTCCAACTTGATGGTACTGAATAGCCTACTAAGTCAGAAGTTCTTTATGACAGTGATTTGCCATGTAAGCTATTGCTGGCTGTAAATTCATAAATATCTTCAAAAAATTAGTAACACTTGGCTTTAGTCTAGTGTTCCAATTTAAGACTGAATTAAGATTACTTTTGAAAGACTGCATAGCGACTGCACTAGAAATCAACTACTCTCACAGTGTTTTCACCAGGTCCAAAACCTCTGCTAGTTTCAGCCTAACTTAAAGGCACAGTGCTGAATTTTGGTGCCATGAATACAAACTAAAAGAGCGTTGGCTGTAGGATGTATCTGCATGTGATGTCATTAGGCAGACAGTGACCACTGGAACTCACAGGCTATGTGGCAGAACAGGAAGAACATCAGACTAGTTTTATCGTGTGGCTTGGAAGTGATGAACTGGGAAGGAAGTTCTGGGTACTGTAAGGTACTGGGAACAGAAATCAAAACTGGATTAGGCAGTGTGCCTGGCTGGGAGTATGCTCCATGGCACAGCACTGCATGCTTGTGGGGGGAAACTGGGTCTAACAGTAAGGGATCAGAAAGCACAATGTAATCTACAGGAGCGATGTGCTGTTATGCTGGTATTCTGGAGCTTGCTCCTATTCCAGTGCAGTCTGGATCAGTCCATGAGAGATGGCAGGGCTGTGTTTCCACCCCAGGGCTTTCAGTTCCAAGTGTACTGGACACCCCTCCAAGTTAAAGCGAACTGTGGCCTGCACTCTGCTGCCAAAGGGATTGAGAAAGATGCATTGGCAATATCAATCGTGGCATACCACTTGGCTGCCTTTGACTCTAGTTCATACTGAAGTTCTAGCATGTCCGGTACGGCAGCACTCAATGGTGGTGTGACTTCATTCAGGCCACGATAGTCTACTGTTAGTCTCCACTCTCCGTTAAACTTTTGCACTGGCCATATGGGGCTATTAAAGGGCGAGTGGGTCCTGCTGATCACTCCCTGACTCTCCAGTCTACGGATCAGCTGATGGATGGGGATCAGCGAGTCCTGGTTGGTGCAATATTGCTGCTGGTGCACTGTTGCGGTCGTAATTGGCACTTGGTGTTCTTCAACCTTCAGCAACCCCACAAACAGAAAGATCCTCTGAGAGACGAGGCAAGGTGGACAGCTGCTCAATTACCTCAGTCTCCAAAGCAGCAATACCAAAAGCCCACCGGTACCCTTTTGGGTCTTTGAAGTACCCTCTCTTGAGGTAGTCAATGCCGAGGATGCATGGAACCTCTGGACCAGTCACAATAGGGTGCTTTTGCCACTTCCTCCCAGTCAAGCCGATTTCAGCCTCCAGCACAGTCAACTCTTGGGATCCTCCTGTCACTCCAGAAATATAGATGGGTTCCACCCCTTGACAGCTTGATGGCATCAGGGTACACTGTGCACCGGTATCTACTAGAGCCTTATACTTCTGTAGGACTGATGTGCCAGGCCACCTGATCCACGCAGTCCAGTAAATCCAATTGTCCCCTACCTCCACCTGGCTGGAGGCAGGGCCCCTCTAATAGTCATCACAATATTGGTCACTTACGTCTGGTAGACAGAGATTAGTCTTCTTTATTATAGGAGCTGGAGTAAAAGCAGTTCTTCCACTCCATCTGCGAAACTGCTCACCAAAGACTGAAGCCTCAGCTTTCATGGGATGATCATCCTTGACCTTTGTTCTTCTCTTCAATTCACGCACCCATTCCTCCAGAGCTGAAGTAGGTTTTCCATCCCACTTCCTCATGTATTCTCCGTGATCCCGCAGGTAAAACCATAGGGTGGCCCATGGTATACACCTTCTATATCTTCTCTCTTGAGCAGTAGGGCACCTCTTGTTAATAGCTGAGATGTGTGTCGGTATACGTGAGGAGCTGGATAGATCAGATAGATCGTCTCTCAATTGTCTGAACTCCTGGGACAGTTTTTCCACAGCTGAAATGATGGTAGGGGTGAGATTGTCTTTGAACTCTCAAAGTTTATGAACCATTTCATCCACTGTTAGTGGTACTGTGTCATTCCAGGTTACTGTTGCCAATGAATGTGCATATGATGATGGTGCACTTCGTGTAAGTTTCCACCACATGGGTTGTGTACATTCGACTTCATCTGGATCTATGGGTGCATCCCTGGCATTACCTTTTGACAGATCATCTCTACAATGGCTGATTCCCTCAGAGACTGGATGCCTCTCTCTAGAGTAGTCCACTTGGCCAAACGACTTATAACATCATCTTTGTATGGAAACCTTTTTTTCACAGCTGCCAAGAGCCGTCTCCAAAGGCTGAGGGATTGTTTCTCTCTTGCAATTGCTTTGTCAATTCCCCCTTCCCTAGCAAGTGATCCCAGCTGCTTAGCTTCCCTACCTTCTAATTCATGACCATCAGCCCTATTGTCCCAGCATCAGAGCAACCAGGTGATGATGTGCTCCCTTGGTTGATGGGTAAAATCTTTTCGTATATTCCGTCTCTCGGTTGAGGTCCGGGATTGAGAAGTCACCTCTTCTTCCTCTGATTCATGTGATGATGACTCCTGATCAGATGCTGTCCTGGGTAGTAAGTGCACTGGCATTGCTTCTTCATCTTTCTTGTCTCTTTTTTGCTTTTCCCCTTGCATACAGGGGCAACCGATATTGGCAAAAATTGGTCCTCTGGTTTAGCTGCAGTGATTATCACTGTGATTGGAGCGGCTGCAGTATCTGTTGTCAGGGTTTGGGTAGCTGCTGTACTTGTCACTGGGGTTAGTGTAGTTGCTGTGCTTGGAGCTGGAGTAGCTGCACTGTCTGTTGTGGTCAGAGTTTGTGTAGCCGCTGTACTCGTCACTGGGGTTGGTGTAGTTGCTGTATTTGGAGTTGGTGTAGTTGCTGTATTTGGAGTTGGTGTAGTTGCTGTATTTGGAGTTGGTGTAGTTGCTGTATTTGGAGTTGGTGTAGTTGCTGTATTTGGAGTTAGAGTAGCTGCATTGTTGATTTCTTTGCCATCAGATCCAGAGACATTTTTTTTTCCCTCTGAAGGTGCTAGATGGTTTTGAACAGGGCTCTGTAAGCATAGGTCAAGCCCCAGCACGTTGCCATGATTTGTCCCTCTCTGGTATGACCAGGATGACAACACACCTCATTTAAGTGTTTTACTAATTTTTCTGGATTTTGTACTTGTTCAGTGGTGAAGTTCCAAAGCACTGGAGGGGTCCACTGGCCTCATACTTGCCCATACTATCCCACATACGCTGCCACTCATGACTGTCCAGCCTCAGGGAAATTCTCTTGGTCCTCCTATATCATGGTCTAACCCCAGACAAGGCCCAAACCCAACTCTGCTTAACTTTTGAGATCAGATGAAATGGTCGTGGATAAAAAACACTCTGTATGTGTGCTAATATGGTGATCCCCGTAACAATCAGCAGGCAGGTCTCAAGGGTACCCAAAGGCCATTCAAAACCTTCAGAATTCTCAAATGATGTTATAAATGGTCTGGTAGGGGGGCTGGGAAGGTAAGGGAATGTCTCCTTCACAGGTTGACCACCCGAGGAGGGGAAAAAAAGATGTGTAATTGCTAAACACTTCTATCATATACCTCCCAAAGTATAGAGGTGGTGACCACACTCAGAAAGCAAGCCAGGTCAGTTTCACGATCAATGAATCTATTGTATTAGAAATCATTACCATAAAGTACAATGAAACAAGAACCGTAGCCCAAGGTCCCCAGCTGATGAACAGTAACACAGCAAATACCGGCTGTAAGTAAGGTACGACATGCTGAAACTCCAAGGTCAAGAGCAACAACTTTGAGAGCCAATAAATCAGCATTGTGAGGAGTGACTATTAATCCAAAACAATGAATGCTTATCACAGATATGTTTAGACACACTCTGGTCAGATCTGTCGTTATCTCAACCCTGCGTGCCCCACGTCGGGTGCCACAAAAAACTGCCGTGGTTTAAGCCCAGCCAGTAACTCAGAACGACGCAGCTGCTATCTCACTCCCCCTCCCCCTTCCTCCCCCCCCACTCCCGGAGGGATGGGGAGGAGAGTCGAAAGAACGTAACTCCCACAGGCTGGGATAAGAGCAGTCTGGTAACTAAGATATAACACAAACTACTGCTGCTGCCACCAATAATAATAATGATAAGGTAAATAACAAGGGAAGAGAATACAACCGCTCACCACCTGCCGACTGATACCCAGCCTGACCCAAGCAGTGATCTCACCCTTCTGGGTAACTGCCCCCAGTTTATATAGTGGGCATGACATGCTGTGGTATGGAATACCTCTTTGGCTAGCTTGGGTCAGGCGCCCCGTCTCTGCTTCTTCCCGGCTTCCCCTCCTCCCTGACAGAGCATGAGACTCAGAAAGTCCTTGGTCAGAGTAAACATTACTGAGCAGCAACTAAAAACATCGGTGTTATCAGTGCTGTTCCCAGGCTGAAAGTCAAAATCACAGCACTGCACCAGCCACTAAGAAGGAGAAAAATGACTGCTACTGCTGAACCCGGGACATGTGCATACTATAGTAATGGGCTATTTTAGAGCTCTTAACTACTCATTTGTTAAAGCAGACAAGCAATACATCAAGTTCTTTTGGGGTCTAATCTGCCTGAAGAGCGCAGGGGTTCTCTCCCACATTGAAAGGTTCAAAGGCGAAATTCAGAAAAGTGAAGAAGAGTTTCCAAAATCACCTTGCTTATTCACAGTGCAGAAAAGGGGAGAAAAAGTCTGTTTCAGAGCCGCTGTAGTAGTGAGAAGGTAGGCTATGGGGGGTTGTTAGTTGGTTTGTTTGACAGGGGATAAAGAGAAGAAAAATTATTTGGTTGGTTTTACTTCTTAATACTGAACCTGACTGATCTGTAATTCATATGTTCACAGCTTTTTTGCTTTTCCCTTATTGTCTATCCAAGATGTTGATAGATCCAATATTGGATGAAGACATAACTGTGGAAATTAAACATGAAACAATCAGACTAGATCACCAACTTCATGTTCTTGTCAGCAGATAATTTCAGCCAAAAGCATCTGTATATAATCCAATCATCTTACATAGAATATTAGACATGGGTTTCAAAAAAGACCCAGCGAGTTAGAATTATCTGTTAGCTTCCTTAGTAATCTCCTTTGAAGCTGTCAGGCTTTTCAGAAAATTTAGTCCATTATCTTGCCTGGATAGATTACGGAGAGAAATACTGCACCTGCACTGTTAAAGGTAAATTTTGCCCCTGTGATTGTGCCGTACTAGGTATCTATAGGCACGTATCAGGTTGCTATTACTATGCAAATATTAAATTTGTCAATAGCCCTCATTGTAGCTGATGAAAAATGTATGAAAAAGTGTGGGAAAAGAAAGCAACTACTGCCATGCATCACTGGCAAGCTAGACACTGCAGTGTCCTTGCCTAATTATAGCTGAGTTGTCAGTGAATGAGCACCAAAATGTAAACATTTTTAACACAAAGAGACCTAACAGTGTTCAAGGTCATTTTTTCAGAATAAGTAAGTGCTTTTAATATACATTATATATATATACAGAACTAAAGAAAGCCCTCAACTTACAGTAAGAGCATTTTATACATCACATAATCTTTCAGAAAATCAAGGTTTTTTTACAACACTGACAAGCATGAAATACTAAATCCCAAACAATACCAGTTGTTAATCTTACATGGAAAATCTGATTGGAGATTTTTGCAGCACTGTGGAAGTCCCATGCAATAATGGTACGATCAGCTGAGTCACGGCTTACTGCATCTGTGCTTGTAAGAAATTCTTTTCCTTCTGGGAGAAAGAGCATGTCCAATGTCTGTTGAATGGCAGCTTTGTACACTCTTAACACCTAGTGGAAAAAAAAGTTTGTTATTTTTGACAGATTAGAAGAACCAATTACTTAAATTTTCTCTTTGTATTAATAACCAACATATTCTCTTTGTATTAATAAACAACAAATGTAAAATGTGAAAAAGCACCTAATTTTTAACTGGTAGAAGAAAAAATACCCCATTGGCTTAACTGTTAAGTTTGCTCAAAACCAAAAGAGAAGAGTCCCAGAGATGGAAAAGTGGAACCACTGAGAACTACAAGAGCATTGCCTGTGTGCGCAGAGGTACAGCTAGAAAAGCAAAAGCTCAGCTTGAACTGAAATTAGGTACATAATTAAAATTGGGTAACTAATTGAAATATTTTCCCACTCTTGAACACGAGAGGTGAATTAGTTACCAGCAATGCTGAAAGGCAGAGGTTCTCAATGCTTTCTTCACCTCTGTCTTTATCAGCAGTTGGGCCACAGGCCTTGGGAACAAAAATCCAGCCTGATGAAAACACAGGCCCACCGTCAGTGGAAAAAAAAAAAAAAAAGATTTGGTATGTCAACTATTACAGGAGCTTGACCCCTACAAATCAGTGGGCCCTGACGTTATCCACCCAAGGGTAAGAGCCAGCTGACACCATTGCAAGGATGCTCTCCATAATCTTTGAGATTGGGGGACATTCTAGAAAACTGGAAGAAGGCAAATGTCAGTTCACACCAAAGTGGGTTAGATCCATACAGAAATGGGTCCTCAGCCACTAGATGCTGAATCTTTTAACAGCCTGTGAATTGGATCTTAAAATGTAACAGAGATTTTGAAATATTCTAAAGAATATATGAACTATTTAAATTTCCTTTCTTTCCACCTTTCTTCATGAAATTCTGCATCTGTGTTGTCTACTTTGAATTTTGCAAATCAATATTTCTGCTTTCTTTTGCTCTTATTTGCCTCCAGTAGAGAGCAACTTCAAGGCAAATGGCCAGATCAAAAGAATCCATCTCTCTGAATATGGTGATCCTTGAAACTAGGACACTGGAAGACTCTTACTTAATATCTAAATATGTATCTCTCTCACCAAGACAGCCAAAAAGTAGCTGCCTGCATTTCCAACAGGGTGTTCAGAGGTTAGTCCTTCTAATGTCACTAGAAAAAAAAACAGAGCAGGCAGAGCACTTGAAGTATTATACTGAAACAGTCCCCAGCTTTGTGAAGCATTTCAGTGCCTACTTCATATCCCTAGCAACATGGGACTACTGATTCCAGGGCCCAGAACTTTTACAGATACCATAAGCACATGCATTTTTTTATAAAAATAATTTTCAGGTGTCACAGTGAAATATCCTGGATTATACCTCTGCTTTACACTTTAACCAGTAAAAGAAAAATAGTTTCAAATATCAAACACAAGAACTTCCTGCTTTCCTTCCTCCAGCTCAAAAGTCTGCAACTACTTGGAAATGTTCAGATCTAGCAGATCCTGCTTTACAGTAGCAATATACTAGATCATCTCCTTAGGTCCCTTGCATTTCTGCTTCCCGTGATCTTGGCATGTAGAAGGACAGCAGCAACAGCTGCTCCGACTGCTTTTCATAGGCTCTGTGAAATGTATGCTTTAGAAAGACAATGTCTGCATTCACTGAAGAACCTCACTCATGCAAGCACACTATACACCCTGTAAATTCATCAACAAGATCTGAACCCGCAGACTCAAAAACCTGGCATGCTTTTCAGCAATCTGCCTGCATTTTTAAGATAATGAATATACAAATGTGTTACTTGCTCTCATCAGATTTTTCAGCCCACGAATCCGCATGATATACAAAGCAATTAGACTTTGCAAAGCCAACAGTTATATTTGCCTCCACTTTTCTTTATGGAGAAATCATCATGCTATTTCCTCAAAGACTTATAAAAGGAAGTCCATAGTTCATTAGTAAAGTAGAATATGAAGGTATTCTCTAGGAGCAAAAATAAAAATAATAATAAAAAATAAATAAATAAACCCACAAAATACAATAGCTGCCTGGAATGAGAAATGAAAAATCATACAGGAACTGCAGGTGTCCTGAAATAAAGTTTAATTGAGAGGAGGGGGGGTACAAAAGGCTCTACCGCCCCAACAGACTGAAGAGACAGCTACTTAGCAGCAGGCACTTTCACAGATGTGACAAGTCCCAACTGGAGAGTTGGCAAGATCAGTGCAGAGTAGCATATACAAGTAGAAACAGGGACAGGAAAGCAGAAACAAAGGCCAATTGGTGTTGGGAAATGAAGAAGAACCATACAGAGCAATAAATGATAATAAAGTCCCAAACGGTGCTTCATGATAGTAATTGGATAATATTCTCTTATTTTAAAGGTGAAAAACTCAAATGTACTGTTTAGGCCTTCATCTGCAAAAAAAAAAAAAAAAAAAAAACCCTTGTGAAATGTATGTATACACATATCCATACATACACTGCGTTCAGCACTGTTAAGGGGTTTTTAGGCTTGGGACTTAAAATTTTCTGTTTGAAGCAACAGTAATCTCTCAGTAAGGAAAAAGTAAAGGTCATGCAGTAAGTAACATGCACATGCTTTTAATGTTTTGCTGAAATCCTCTTGGGCTCTCACATAAACTGCCACTAATAATCTAAACATTTTCATTGCTAATCATTACATATGTATGGTTGTCTGTTAATAGGACATCTAACCAAATTACCCATGGATGTTAGCTTTGCAACAGGAAGCTCCGTAAAAATAAGTAAAAAAAAAACATTTTTTCTGTAAGCACCTCAGAAAAACAATGCTATTTAATCTTCAAACCACACAGTAAGAGCTGACTCAGAGAACAATAAACTAACATTTTGACAAGCAGCTGGGAACTTGATATACATAGTATTTAAATTCTTCCATAAAGATAGCTTTCAAATTTTGCAACACCCCTGCTCAGAAAAGTACTCATAATTAAACCTGATTTGTTCTACCTTAGACAATTAATTCATGACATGCCTGAGGAACTTGCTTGGGGAAAGCACCAGTTTCCTTACCCTGCTGGCTTTAGTTTGTTAATAATAGCTTTTGCCCTTTTTCTATTTGCAGATTTATCACCAGTAAGCATTGGAAATCCACAGTCCACTTCGTCAATCTAAGCATTTCCTATAAATAAAAGAAATAATTTCAAAAGAAGTCCTAATACTTTCTGGTGTCAACACAATCCAACATAATAATAAAGCTTCTTCACTAAGGCAAGAGCTCATGGCTGCAGGCATTCAACAAGAAAGGTAATTTAAGCAAATTAAGTCAGTTTCAAAGAGATTCTTAGGGTTCTGATGATTTGAAAACCATGCTGTGATACGGAATTCAAGGTATATATTTCAGATGGGTGTTCTATAATCCTTTGCTGCATAAAGTACATGCAATGCCTGGTATTTTTTCTGTCAAGAAAGCCCAAAGCCTCAACACAAGCAGTTCAGAAACTGCTGCTCACCCAAGCTCTGAGCTGCTCACCTGTAATGTATATGCACTGCACTTTCCTAAAAAGTCCCTCAAACTTTAAGCAAGTGGTGAGAAAGAAACGTGCTTTTATAGTCATTGTCCTGAGCATCAGCAGATGAGATCTCAAAACAAATCTGACAGGACTACATGTAATCTGGATGGTCATGGAAAAAAACCTTAATCAGCCAGTGCCATGCCTTCCAACCTATAAAAATGGCCATATTTTTATTTCCACCTCTTGTCCTACCTTTTTAGATTGAGTGCTTTGGTATGAAACTGTCTCTTCCTGCAGGCATGTTGGGTAATTAAAGCAATCGTGGACTGATTTAAGTTTCCTCTGCGAAACAGTAATAGAGCACTACTAGTAATAAAAAGTGCACTTTAAGAGAAAGTTAATTTTGCACAAAATAGAAGCTTTTTTATCTACTGCAGTGCAAGCCATTTGTGTCGATCTATTCTAGAGAGTAAGGTGTTAAGCCAGATGACTACTATATGAACAATGTACTCTTTTTTTAAGTCACTTCAGATTGCTTGAGAAAGCACAGGATTCTTGTGATGCAAAGTGTCAACCATTTATTAGAAAAAAAATATTTTCCCATCAGAATTTTATTTAAAATTATCTCATCTCAAATAGGATAAGTGAAATCTGTATACAGGAAACAGACGAGGAACATCCAAGATGCAGAATGGCTTTTTTATGAGAAGCAATAACCAAGGACTTTACAGTACAGAAATGGACAACCATGGGGAATTTGAAAGTATCAGAAATAAAGTCTGAGTGGCATGGAGAAGGTGACCGATTTCTTCCATGATAAGAATTCAGACTCCAAACTAGCAGATGGCAGATTCAAAACAAGATGCTTCTTCCCACAATACATATTTAAATTGTATTTTCTGCTACAGGATGTTGTAGACATTAAAAAAAAAAAAAGAGGGAGAAAATCAGGAACAACCAGTTCTACAGTTGAAAACTTAAACAGACCATGAAAGACAAAGACAGTATCTGCAGTGCAAGAAGTGCCCACACTCTACATTAGAAAGGTCTGGGTAACCATTGCTGGGAATCGAGATGGAGTTTGCTGTGCTTTCATATTCTTGCTTGTTTAAAAGTATACTGGTAGCTGCTGGGTGTTTAAAGTTTGTCTAGAAACGAGCTGAAACCAGAATGGCTATTCCCCAACAGCTTCTCATTTGAACACTCACACTCCACAAAGAGGCATGTTTTGTCTCTGGCCCATTTCAGTCTCCTCAGGAGCAGCTGCTATGATTGTCTGTCACAGACAGACAGGTCTATGATTATCATCTATGATATCACCATATGAGGTTTCCAAATAAACACAGCAGGACTGCTCATGTATATGATACAGCCACATAAAATGTGTCCTCACACTCAGAAAGGACTCCAGAATGTTCACATTTAAAACCAAATACCATTACACAAGTACAAATATACTCCTCACCAGATTTCTTCAAACTTTTTGTCCATAGATTCAGTCAGGCTTTCTCAACTGTGAGAAGAATATCTTCAGTTTTCTAAAGAACTGAATAAATC